TTGTTATGGCAAGTTTTAACTAATTCAATGGTGGTAACATCAAGACTGAATCAAAGAGGTATAAAGTGCTCTACAATTTGTCAACGCTATGAGATGGAGGAAGAGACGGTAAACCACATACTTTCGAGTACCTTATATCTTACCATATTTGGGCCTTTACGTTATTTAATAACATGACGTCTAAAATCACCTACAGTCGAAGATGGAAGCTTTGATGTGGGCAATGTCGAGAATTTTGGATAGGAATAATGACTATCAGGAATTCAAAACAGACTATTCATACTTGATCTTGATTACTCAAACGCTCGAGGAGTGGCAAGCTCTTGCCATACTCAATGAAGAATTTCATAGCTACAAGCACAGTTCCAGATTTTTGCTCTATTATTGATCCCCTGAAGTTCAAAAGCGAAGATAGATTGCTTGATAGCCCGCTTAACTCTTTCTTGTTTTAATTGGTTTTTCTTCTGTAAGCACCTCACCTCCTCTTTGAACCACCAATCTAGAGATTATTTTTTAAACGATGAGTTTTTCGATAGATAAAAAAAGAAGAAGATAGATCATAACAAGAGACATAACTTTGTACCGACATAATTAAAAAGTTACATTAAAAAATTATAGAATCTAATAAAGTGATAATCACCAAACTTATAACTACCCGGTTTAAGTAGCATAAGCCGAGAGATGGAATGGAAGATGGTATAGATGAAGGCTAATTGGATTTGTGGTTAATCTATTAATACACCAAAAGCTTTGAGATTCGGTGTAAGGTTTGATCCTCTCATTGACACACGGCTAACACAAAAACCATAGTGATGTTTCTACAAATACTCAAGTGATTTTGCAAGAATAAACACAAGAGAAACAATGCACATTCTGAACAATACTCTATTATATTGAATACGAAAGGTTATATTGAATATGAAAGGTGAATACAAATGATAGAGATGAGGATAATCTAGGTTATTTAGAAAATTCATAATGAAAAAAAAAACTTTCAAGACGCACAAAGAGAAATATCGAATAGACATAAATATGCTTACAGTGAGTATAATAATTGGTGTGATGCCCAAATTACTTGACATAGACTATACCAAAAAGGGATTAAATTGTTATTATTTTGGTCAGAGGTGGAAGACCGAGAAAAAAATAATTAATCATGCACTTATTTGAACACACATTCTCTACAAACTCGGACATTATCTTATTCTAATCGACCTTTAGTGTGTTTGTATCAAGTTAATTAGTTTACTCTAACCAACATTACCTTTAATTAACCATCCCATATTTAAATGAGCCATATTTGGAGAAAGAAGATTTCTTTTGAATAATTTAGTTAAATTCAGAAATCTCGAAATAAGAAAAAAACTTTGAAGAAGCACAAAGAAAAAAGTTAGATATACTTGAACACACACATATTGAGTATAAGAATTGGTTTGGTTTTAGAGGATCTCAAACTTAATAGTTCAGATTTGGAGAAAAAAGCATTTTTTAGATAATATAGTTTATTAGAAATTAAAGAAAAAAACTTTAAAGATGCCCATTAAAAACATCATATATAATTGAACATACATTTAGTGAGTATAATAATTCATACCACGTATGAATTATTTAAAATATACTACATAATTTATTACACTAGTCTCTTTCTGATTTGTTTAAATGCGTGTTCCTAATTATGTTTACTAAGATGAAATGATGTGTTAGAGGCAGGAGCAAGGACATCTGAAGGATGCATACGAAACGAAAACAATGCAAAGAAATATAAGGAAGAGCTTACAATTCCATTTGATCTTTGTAAGTCTTTAAATAATGATGAAGAATTCACGCCGCTAAAAAGCAACGATAGTACACTGATTGTTGAGCCAACAATAAGTCTAAATGACAAAATAAAATCACTACTTTTAATCATATAAATACTGATACCGTTGAGATTTTTGTTTGCCATTTAGACTTATTGTTGGCTCAACAATCAATGCGATATCATTACTCTTTACCGGCGTGACTTTCTTATCATTACTCAAGGACTTACAAAGATTAGATGGAATTGGAAGCTCTACCTTATCTTTCTCCGTGTTGTTTTCCTTTTGTATGCATTCTTCAGATGTCTCCGCTCCTGCATGTGACACATCATTTCATCTTAGTAAACATAATTAGGAACACGCATTTAAACAAATCAGAAAGAGACTAGTCTAACAAATTATGTAGTATATTTTAAATAATGTAGACGTGGTATGAATTATTATACTCACTAAATTTATATATGACGTTTTTTATATACGCATCTTTAAAGTTTTTTTTTTAATTTCTAATAAACTTTATATTATCTAAAAAAATGCTTTTGTCTCCAAATCTGAACTATTAAGTTTGAGTTCCTCTAGAAAATATAGTTTTGATTACATAAACTATTTTGATGGAAACATATTTAGAGTCAATGATATAAGATAATTCCCATGTCTATAGAAAATGTGCACATTGGAATAACGCATGGTTAATTGTTTCTTTCTCAATCTCGCACACCGCTCCAAATGAATATCACAATTTTTTTCTTCTCTGGTATAGTTTATGTCAACTAATTTGGTCGTCAAACCAATTCTTATACTCAATATGTGCATGTTCAAGCATATCCATTTTTTATTTGTGCTTCTTCAAAGTTTTTTTCCTATTTCGAGATTTATCAATTTAACTAAATTATCTAAAAGAAATTTTCTTTCTACAAAAATGGCTCATTTCAATATTGGATGCTCCAATTAAAGGTAATGTGGTTATAGTTGAAACAATCCGAACCATTTTTTTTTTACATTTAACATTGGATTCGAATTAATGTTTCCATAAACATTAATTCTCAACACCCAATCAAGTCAACAATAATCATCAATCAAACATCAACCAGCGGAAATCATAATCAAACCATTCCAGTTCAACGATCAATCCAATAACCAATATCAATTGAAATAACCAACATAAACCGATAATCAATTCCATAAATCAATCCAACTCAACAATC